ACTAGCAAAATCAAGGCGGAGATTCTGGCCACAACTACAGTGGAAGAATTTCAATAAAGCCTGCAACTCTTAGAGACCTCAATCTATTTTCTATGAACATTTCTCTGCTCTCCACAGAAAGAATAACAGACGTCCAAACCCCCCTTCACCACCACCACCACCACCAAAACTGCCATTTTTTTTTTTTTTCAGTTATAAATATTGTTGAAAGAGCTTGCAGTTAGAGCCCAAACGGCGAGAACATGAATAAAGGTGTACGTACCTCCATACGCTATGGAGAAAACATATATTTTGTACGTCGTTTTTATAAACCAGAAGCCCGAGGCTTGTGTGCAGATAAAATATTTACAAAACATGATGTCAAGCATTTTACAGCTGAGCGATTTTAATATATCAACAGTGGAAAGAGGATAAGAAAACCATAATTAAAAAAAAGCGGGAAAAAAGAAATCAAACCAGAGTAAAGAGAGAAGTGAGAGAGGCGTGGGTGTTGAGCATACAAAGCCTGAACTAGGTTGATAATTGCAAGCACAGGCAGATAGACGTTTGGCGAAAAATATTTGTAATTTGTTGATTTCTTTTCGGTTGAGGATTGTCGACGAGTTGTAAAGAGAATTTCTATTTGCTTTGTTTTGTTGTCCTTGATGCTGTGACACTCTTTGGGTGCTTTTATTTGTTTATTATTTTTATTTTTCTTATTTATTTGTTCGCTTGGTCAAATATTTCCCGCCACATTCTCCTTAGTCAGTTTGGACAGCGGCAAGCGATCTGGAGACGAGCCTTCATTATCAACTTGTCATTTTTCATCTTTTCCCAATTCTGTCACCTTGCATCTCTCACAAAGACACATACCTCACCATCTTTTCCCTATCTTACAGTATTGGGACTGATTCTGTTTTTTGGGGGGTTTTTGTGTTATTTTGTTTTGTCAGTCAGCCTCTATCACTATCAGTATTTTCTCTACCCAACGAGGAATGCAGCTGGGGAAAAAAATAAAGAAAAACTGTTCAAGAAACAAAACAAATTGAGAATGCATTTTCAAAAATAAATTATTTACAGCGGATAAAAGCAATGCCAAATGTAAACACGTAGCACTAATCAATAATATATTTTTTTTCTTTGCTATAACGTTCTGACCAGTCCGTTCTCCGGTTGTTGTGAAGTAAAGAAGAACCCCTTTAGGGCACCTCGGCGTGGTGTAATGGTTAGCAAGCTTGTTTTGCTATGTCAGTTACTACTGAAAAGTGAGTTCGATCCTCATTGGATGCCCCCGTGCCACATCTAAGCTTCGCTTGGAAAATCTTAAGTAAAGAAGAACCCTCCGGTAACACAAACGAACTAGACAAGACGCCATAAATAAAGAACTCAAAATGAGTCAGACAAGTTCCGTTGGAATCAGTTAAGACATAATATTATTACCATTAAGAGTGAGTTATAACACCGGCCATCTTGTTAGGCCATTTGTATGGAATTTCCTAACAGCAAATTTGTTTTGAAGTCTTTCCAATCACAGTTCACCTTTTGTTTTCCCGTATCTTTCAAGTAGTCGAATTATTGAAGTAGGGTTATCTACAATATGAATAACGTTTATATCACTGAAGTATTGATTACTTCTTCTTTTATGTGCTGTAGGCGATCATAGCTCTCCATTTCTTCCCGTCCCTTGTAGGTCTTAATAAGTTTTGTTTTTTTGTTATTTCTTCCAAATCCTGTTCTGCCATCCACTTGCTTAATCCCGTCAAGTATGTCACGCGTTGCTTTCCTTTGTCAGTCCTCCCTATGAGTATCAGAATTTCCAAGCCCTCCTTTCTCATTACGTATCCCAGAAATTTCAGCTACCTCTTCCTAATGTTAAGTATGAGTTTCCTTTTTGTTTGAATCCTTTCCAAAACCTCATCGTTGCTCACATATTTAGTCCATGATATCCTCAGCAACCTTCTTTAGAACCACACCTCTGCTGCCTCCTTCTTCCTCTTTGAGGAGACCGTCCAACATTCGCTGCCGTAAAGGAGGACAGATATCATGTAGCTGTTCAGTACTCTTTTCTTTGTTACCAACGAAATCTTCCTGCCTAGCTTTTGGAACGTGTCTTTGACCATTCCAGTACGTCTTCGGATCTCAGCTCAACTTTCTGAGCGAGTGTTCGGTTCAACTCTCTGTTTCCGGACGGAGAGGAACCCGAAGGAGGCTACGCCGAAGGGCGGAGTCTCCTTCGGGGAGGTTAAACCGGCCCTGAACCCGCTTAGGCGGTTTCAAATGGGCATATTTTTGGGCCGAGCCCACGGGCTCGGGTAAGCCCACAATAAACAACCGACCTTGTGTCACATGTTGCCCTAGTGGGAGGGAGACTAAATATAGTCTTCGGATCTCAGCGTCGCACTTACCGTGCATGGGCCTTCTGTTTTCGTGCAGTTTATGCTTAGTCCCTTCTTCATGCTCTCCTTTGGTACCTTCTAAATCTGCAGCTAAGAAAGTTGGTTCCCGATGTGTGTGACTATTTTTCTCACCAGAATCTATCTTAGATATTTATGAATCTACTATTCTTCCTTGCTTTGAATATTGCTGCCACATATGGTCTGCTAATTTATTTACAGACTAGCAGTAGAGCCCGGCGTTGCCCGGGGATGTAACAGTAAGAGATAGATCAAGTATCGACCATCATAAAAACTGAAAAATAAAATTGACAAAGATTATTGTTTAAGGTTGACGGTTAATTAGTTTTTTGTTTTTTTTTTATTATGAATTGGTCAAACCCAAACTCAAACAAAAACATTGTTTTCAATCGTTATGAGTGTATCGATTGAATAGAATTTTATTATAAACAATTGTCTTGTAAATGGAATTTTTAAAGCATTCTGAATGTAAAAATAAAGAAAAAAGTGTGCAAGAAAATACGAAACACTAACTGCCAAAAAAGTGAAGTTTTGTTGAAATCTGTTGAAAAATGTAGGAAATCCGATCCCATATATAAACGAACACACACACACAAACAAGCTGGGTTTTATAATAAGTATAACTCGATATGAGTTGTCCCCCTTTCATTCTGGCGACAGAATCGTGTTTTATCGTGTTTTCAAATTCATTTCCTGCAAAAACAATTGTGTTTTTCCAATTTTTTAGCGCTGTCAGAACCACCGCAAGGTAATTTTACGCAGTCCTGCGAAGTTTTGTTGAAATCGGTTGAAAAATGTAGGAAATCCGATCCAATATATAAACGTACACACACACACACACACAATCTGCGTTTTATAATAAGTAAGATTCTTGATAAAACCCAAAGAAAAATCTGCAATGCTATTGGTCTTGACCTGGCATCTCGGCTTCAGTCACTTTCCCAACGCCATAGAGTAAATCCCCAATTGACTTTTCTATAAATACTTTCCACTATGGTAATTTAAGTACTGTGACTGCAACAATCAAGATAAGGACATTCGTTCGAATAGACCAGTGTTTAATTCCTTATTTCCGAAATTCACACAGAAACGAGAGACTACAGCATGGCTGATGCTAACCTCCTCGTGAGTGATGCGTTGCGCCTTCTCGGGCTAACATTTTTCTGCTGACATGAAGAGGAAAGATAATATTCAATCAATTTCTAGATTTGCTGCTAGTAAAGCTGATTCACTGCGTCGTGCCAGACACTCTTTTTCGTCAGAATCTATCTTACATATTTATAAGTCTATCATTCGTCCATACTTTGGATAATGTTGCCACATCTGGTCTGCTATATATTTAGAGAGCCTAGATAAAATCCAAAATCTGCAATGTTATTGGTTCTGACCTGGCATCCCGTCTTCAGTCACTTTCCTAACGCCATAAAATAGTTCCCCTGTGCCTTTTCTATAAATACTTTCATGGTAATTATTCGGATGAATTTTCGTCTATTCATTGGGGGTTTCACTTTTAAACGCTGTTTTCTTTATTCCTCCACTGCCACCACAGACAAATTGTACACATAAAAACTAGTTAGGACTTCATAGCGTCTTTGAGGGATTACGGTGGCTGTAGTAAGAATGGTAAGAAAGTATATGTCGTTTTGGTATGAAGAATACTGTGGTATCTTTTTGTCAGTCATTGTGGCTAGCTACGTTTAAGATAAGACAAAATGAAAACCAGCCTTCCCCTATACCCACTTTTGGCCTTGTGACATATTTTTGCATTTTACAAACAATAAATATCACTTTCGTCTATGGCACCTAGACTTTATGAATTTAGGCACAATATTAGATTGTCAGCAAGGTCTCATCAATTTACAGTTGAAGTAGCTAGATGTAACCGTAACTTCTATGATAACAGTTTCTCCTATCGCACTTCTCGCTCGTGGAACTCTTTTTTGACTTCTTGCTTTCCTGTCAACTTTGACCTTCAACAATTTAAATGCAATGTCAATTGTTATATTCTCCTTTCTTAATTCTTATCCTTTTATTGTCCTTTCCCATTAATAGTAGTGGGTTTTTTTTGTTGTTGTCGTTTTGTTTTTTTTGTTTTTTGTTTTTTTCATATTCTTTAACACTCAGTAACATCTTGCGTCATAGTAACTTTATTGCCTTGCTTGGAGTGAAATGATTTAAAAATTAAAATGACGTACAAAATCTAGTCAGCTTTTTTAATAAGACTGTTGGATTCTGTACCATTTTTTCCAGAGTTTTAAGGTTTACTCAGTAGCCATATTTTTAGTATTAGGGACAAGGTTACCCCTTTAGCAGGAGTAATCATAGAGTGACCTGACATAATGTTTTTAATCTAATGTTTGCTCCTGTAATTGTTTTCGAGTCGTTAACTGGAGAAATTATTGAAAGCAAAAATAGACAGAGAAATAGCCGATCAAAAATTAATTATTGCTCCACCATATTTGTATTTTATTGCCGTTGTATAAATGATCTCTATGTTTCCAATAAGGATTCATCTATATTTATAAATTAATTTTCCATAGTTTATTCGAGCACAGGTTCAAAGATTCTGGAAGACAATGCCTTTACCTGATTCTTAGTTCCTTCGACATGCCAAAGAATTCGCGATTCTTGAGCATAGCGCACGGCATAAAAGGTAACAAATTATAGACTTTTTCTATTCTTTTTTTTGTCTCCAGTTTGTTTATAATAAAGTATGTTTAGATAATGTTGTATGGGAATCACATGGAGATATATTGAAGAAGTGTTCCTCTTTTGTTCATTTGCATAAAAGAGACAAGGAGCCATGTCAAGTTGTGAGCTAAAAAAAATCAGAAATTATGCAATGCTTTTAAAGAGAATGACTTTTAAAAGGATGTGAAAATATAGAATTGCGATGAGAGGATATATTCTGTGACGTCACAATAACATTTGCCATAAAAGAAGAGAACGAGTAAAATGCATTAACCTATTGTATAATCTATACTTATAATCTCATCGTATTATACGCATACATTGTATAATACAGAATCATACACTCGCATAACTATAAAAGCATACATATATAGCATTATGATTGCAGGATATACTCTGTGACAACACAAAATGACAAGCCATTATATAACATTTATATACGCATTATATAATACGCACTCATTGTATAATACATTTTTATCCATTCATTCAACCATTGTATAATACTCACTAATACTTTCTATTATAATCGTCTTGTATAATATGCTTGTCTCTGCATTCGTCAATTCACACAACCTTTATGCCCTGACAATACCTCGTAAATAATGAACTATTCCGCTTTGATCGCGTGGAAAGAGGGGAAAAGACACTACTTGGTTTCAGTGAGAAAATGAAAGAAAGAAAGATAGAAGTGGAGAGAAAAAATCAGATTAAACTAATAAGAACAGATACTACACTATGATCTAAATCAAAAGTCCGAGAAGCCATTGTATTTTATTGCCGTTGCATGATAGTAGGATGTGACACAAGGTCAGTTTAATGTGGGATTTATACTCTTAATGTAACACTGGACAACAATGGAATGACTACTTTTGTCCCGTAATTGTTGCTACATTGGCATATATATTTTATACTCTAAATGTAACACTGATTATGGGACAACAATAGAATGACTACTTTTGTCCCATAATTGTTGCTACATTGGCATATATATTTTATACTCTAAATGTAACACTGATTATGGGACAACAATAGAATGACTACTTTTGTCCCATAATTGTTGCTACATTGGCATATATATTTTATACTCTAAATGTAACACTGATTATGGGACAACAATAGAATGACTACTTTTGTCCCATAATTGTGGCTACATTGGCATATATATTTTATACTCTAAATGTAACACTGATTATGGGACAACAATTGTATCTCTAAGAATGATGCCTTTTCTCCCATAATACCTGATACATTATCAGATATATTTCATACACTAAATATAACAACAATTATGGTACAAGAGTTATAACTAAATAGAATGACTACTTTTGTTCCGTAATTGTTGCTACATTGGCATATATGTGGTCCAGTCCCCCGCAACCATCGGTTCTACCGGCATCGGTATTACTACCGACCTCACCCGTTCTTTAGGGAAATAAGGGAGTTACTGCCTCGGACAGCTGCTTCCAGTGACCGGACACGTCTCAATCATATTTTCAGCCGCAGACAGAGACACGACTGAGAGGTGAAATGTACTTTATCCCTCACAGTATCGAATGACCGAAACCAAGTAAGGCAATCGCCAAAAATACAGTTACCATAAATAAAATAACATCGTCTGCAGAATTATTTTTAAAATATTATTAAAAGAAATATTCGTAAGAAAGTGATGTGGACACTATATAGAATTTGTGCCATGACAATATTACAAGAGAACAAGAAAAACGCATTTAGATTTTGAATAATGCACACTTATACTCAGTGTATAATACTCACTCATACATATACAGAATAACTAGTAAACTAGTAAAAATACGATATGGTATTGAATAATGCACACTTGTACACACATTGTATAACACGAACTTATATGTTTATATTGAGCATACCTACAGACGATAATGTGTATGTTCCCTATTCACATAAATACAGTACTGAATACTGTATGTTGGTCTGCAGTCAGAGATTCGTCTCCAGCTGTGCTGGTCAAACTCGGAGGCAGAGAGGATACCCTATGTCGAAGGGGAGAGTCTCGTCTCGGGAAACAGCTACCCGACCCCGTTTAAATCGATGTCTACGGGGAATTTTTGGCCGAGCCTACGGGCTCGCACACCCCACATTAAATTCGGTATTGTGCCACATCTGACCGCGTGTGTCGGTTAGTAGATATCCTATAGTTGGAGATTCGTCACCAGCTGTACTGGTCAAACTCTCTGCCTCCGGGTAGAGAGGATCCCCAGACGAGGCTATGTCAAAGGGCAGAGTCTCGTCTCGGGAAGCAGTTACCCGACCCGGTTTTAGACGGGGTCTACGGGGAATTTTTAGCCGAACCTACCGGCTCGGACACCCCACATTAAATACGGCCTTGTGCCACATCCGACCGCTTGAGGCGGTTGGTAGATATACTGCAGTTGGAGATATTCATTGTGGAATTCACTTGACTCACTTCTAGCAGCTGACTACTTCTACGCGCCGCTGGCGAATCTTATATGTGTTGTTCTTGTCCTAAGTATTATCGTTCATTACCAACCTTCATGTGATTATTCTATTCAGTAACCTTCCCTAGGTTACAGCAGTTTATATATTCATACAGTAATAATATCAGTTGACTCTACGAGTGCAACAGGCAGCAGGTAACGCAAGATCAGGTAATTGGCAACTAAACAGATTCTCCTCTGATTATATAGTGGATGCATATAAACCTGAAATTAATAACAGATATATATATATATATATATATATATATATATATATATATATATATATATATGAAGATTCCCTGGATTGGGGATAGGGGTCAGGGCTTAATTAAGCAGGTTAACCAAGTCGGTTTCCGGTTGTTTCCCATCAGTTGCTTTACGTAGCATTTTTCGAACAAGGTCTGCGTTTCCGTCTTTTCGCAAGGATGTATTGCCCTACATCAAATTGAGTAATTTAGTATATGAATTTAATTGCCAGTGTGTGCTGCTGGTTGTGTGGGGCGTACAACCTTGCATTTGGAAACTAAATTAATCAGCACGTACCTTCAAAATACGACTTGGTAAGACAGATAGAATATGCTATCTTCCCCCAAGAATATGGAATCGGCTATTGTTCAACATTTAGTTGAGAATATAGCTTGTGCCAAGTTGTTTAAAAAGTGGTTTAAAATTATTCATACAGCCGATTCAATAATCATTTGAAGATTTTGGAATCGGTCTGTATAGGATTAAGAAAAACCTTCTCTCGCCGGGCAGAAAGAATTTATAAGGTCTCTGAATTTGTTGGGGGATATTTTATTTTAACTGTCCCTCGCTAATTTATTTACATGATTTCCCCTTCCCTCGTTACAAGTATATATACTTGTTCGTTATTTTAGTGTGTTTCCCCCTTTTTTTTTTTGCTCTTCAATATCGTTAATATTCTTTTCGCTAATCCAACGATTGTCTCCTGATGAGATGTTGGCTGAAAGGGCCCTAGAGACTTTTAAAATTAAAATCAATGGTTTCCTTGTTTTTAAAACTGTTTATAAATTTTGTACCTCCAAACATTTGTTTATATATATATATATATAATTTATAATTTATAGCGGAATTTTTTTAAACTTTAAATTAATGCCGCATTTTTCGATCTCATAATTAATACAGGATAATTATTTTAATTTTTATAGTTAATAGCGAATTTTATAGTAAGCTTTAATGTGCTCGTTCAATTATAGAATCACTTCCTTTCTAATGCCATGAAACTGAAATGGATCTTTTCCAAATTCTCCAAGAATATGGCCCTATGATGAAATTGGCATTATTCCTATTTCAACATTTTTTTTACCTTATCTTCCAGAAATACAGCACTGCTTCACAATTTAAAGAATATCCAATGTTGGGGTGAGTTACAACTTAATCTATTTCGTTGAAGCTGCTACGGATAGAGATGGCACCACCAATTCCAGAGGAAATCCTGGGTTATTATTTATAAGTCTTGTAGTAAGCGAGCAAATGAATTCTTCCCGTTTAGCTGATAAAGAAAAGTAGCTAAGTAGATGCCATTCCTGGAGTCCCAGAGAGAATAAATTATGTTCTTGAAGGGTGCTGAGCTAAAAAGACAAGGATATGTGATTTGGGAGAAAAACAAGAGATGCAGAAATTTCTGGAATTCATTTTCAGTGACTCAGTGATGCTGGCGAGATTTACAAAGAACAATTACTTTTTGCGCCGATTACTTTTGCCAAATAAATAACTATAGGTAAGAAGGAAGAAGGGACAATATGTATGACCTGACATTTCTCTTTAATTCATTCTCTGTCTCATTCGTTCTCTTTCTCTCTCTCTCTCTCTCTCATTCTGTTTTGTTTTCTTTCTACCAGTCTTTCAGGATTTCCCCTTCTCTACCTTTTCTTTCTCGCTCTCTCTCTCTTCTCTCTCTCTCTCTCTCTTCTCTCTCTCTCTCATTCTGTTTTGTTTTCTTTCTACCAGTCTTTCAGGATTTCCCCTTCTCTACCTTTTCTTTCTCTTTCTCTCTTTCTCTCTCTCTCTCCTCCTCTCTCTCTCTCTCTCTTTTTTCATTCTGTTTTGTTTTCTACTAGTCTCTTTCAGGAATTTCTTTCTTTTGTTTTTTTTTCTTTCTTTCCCTTCTCTTTTTCTCTCTCTCCCTTCTCTTCTCATTCTGTTTTGTTTTCTTTCTCTCTTTCAGGTCTCTCTAGATTTTTCTTTGAACTTTCTCTCTCTCATTCTCTTTGTTTTCTTTCTATTCTTCTTTCAAGGAATTTCCCCTTCTCTTAAATTTCTTTTCTTTCTCATCTCTCTCTCTCCAGTCTCTCTCCCTCTCGATCTTCTTTTTGTTTTCTTTCTCGTCTTTTCATATTCTCTTCATTCTTTTTCTTTGTTTTGTTTTTCAAAAAAACCATTTCTTTCAGATGTTTCCCCTTCTCTCAAATCCTA